TGGTGACTCTGCGTGCACCTTGGGCAGCTACCCAGAGCCGGGGCCGGGGCCAGGGCTGGCCATGGCATGCCAAGCAAAATGGCCTCGTGTGCTGGCGTAGGAGGTCCTCAAGTTCCCTGCTGGGAATATATATGCTTGACTTGAACTGGGATGTGCTGATTCTCCTGCTAGGAGCAAAGTCAGAGAGTCTTGGCTAGAGGGTCTTGCCCTTCACTCAGGATCAGACTGATTGCCATATTTGGGATCAAGAAGGACTTTTACCCCATGGTCAAGTTGGCATATGGATGGTGGGAGTTTTTGCCTTCTTCTATAGCGAGGGTGTGGCCTCTACCTGGGAATCTCTGGAGCATATATTGATAACATTTCATAAATGCAGGACAGTCGCTCCCATAGTTCCCCTGCTTTACTTGTGGCAGGTTTGGGTGTTAGGTCTATGATATATGGTTAAATGGGATGGTTTGCATAGGGATGAAGCTGCCTCAGGCAGGGGGTTGGACTGGGCGACCTCTAGGGGCCCTTTCAAACCCTACTTCTCTATGCTTTTATAAGTCTATGAGCCCCTGACAGTGGGGAACAACAGAGTCTCTGTGGTGGTCTTTCCTACCCAAAACTTACTATTAAGCCAGTGCAGGTGGTAGAGCCTCTGGATGGCAGCCCTGGGTGAGACTCCCTTCTCAAGTGAGTGGGCTAAGAGGGAGCTCCCCAGGTTGGTTTGCAACTGACTGTGACTGTGATCAGTTCTGAGCTACAGTTAAAGGTTAACAGTTAAGGTTTTGCTTAGGGAGTACCACTGTTTCCCTTTTCCCTTGTAATAAACTTGTTTTAATTTAATATTTGCTAGTGAGTGAGCAGGTTTCTTTAAATTACAACACCCAGTTCTAAGTTACTTTACCAAGCTTCTGGGTGGCAGCTGGAGGTAAACATGAAAAGATGGTGAAAAATCCCTAGAAGCATCTATGCACATGCTCCGGGGTGGAGTGTGGGGTGACACTTTAATTCGAATGGCTCTGACTCTAATTAAAGTGTCCGCAGCGTCACGTGTATTCAGCATTCCGTGCTTAATAATAGCGACAGGGACACTTTAACTAAATCTTGTTCAATGACCTTCAGTTAAAGTACCCCCGCTGCTGTTTTGAAATGCAGGCACAGTGAATACACATGATGTGGAAGCTGGTGGAGCACACTAATGAGCACACTCCAGCAGACTGCCAGCAGGCTTGATTAATCAAGTCTGCTTTGACAGGTGCTAAATACCATGCATCAGAGCAGAGGTCCACCATGTGTATAAGTGCCCTATATTTGCATGCAACCATTCTTCCTGCTGTCCAGTGCCTAGTAGAAAAGTAATATACAGTCTTAAAGGCTGAGTGTCAACTGGCAGGCTCACACTCAAAAACATGCATTGGGTCAAGCACATGCCCAGATTTCTTTAGGAGGTTCCCTTGGTAGCAGGGATGTGTTTTGAGATGATTCCAAGAAGGTTTTGCCCCATGATCCCAACAGAAGGGCAGCTCCTTAAATAGCACACAAGGATGGGGAGTAAGTTGGAGCCTGGCAGGAACAAGCCGCACTTTGGGCTGGGCAAGACCCTGGTCAAGGATGTCCAGGAGGATCCCTCAGTGCCACAGAGGCATGGTGTGGGGTGGTCCAAGAAGGATTTCCATCTCTAATCCCAGCCCAAAATCAGTTCCCTATTCGAGCCTGTAACAGAGCACAAAGTATGCTCTGTTACTCACATATGCGTGGGCAGCAGCTATGTAGCCTGCAGCTGGTGGCAACTCCAGTTAGGCAGGACTGCCTGATTGGGAACAGGGCCCAGCTGTTTCCTATAAGAGCAGGGCCCTAAACAGCAGAGCCAGTAGTCTGCTGCTGGCAGCCGGAAGGACATCACTGGCTGGAGCTGCTGCTCACAACACCTTGGAGGTCTGGGGTGGACTACGGGGATGGAAGGAGGTTCCCTGTCCTGGGTACAACAGAAAACTGTACCCTGCTGGACTAGGATGGTCTGGTGGGACAGCCCATGGTAGGGTAGTCCCTGGAAATGCCAGGCCAGTCACCTTGCCAGTGAAAGGCGAGTAAGGGGCACCTTATAACCCTAGCCCCCACATCCCTGGTGGGTAGTAAGACCAAGCAGGGGGAGCCCAGACTCACTGTGAGTGCTGAAGCAGGGCCCAGGTCAGGTAGGGGGACCTGAGGCAGCACCCAAATTCACAGTTGAGCTCTGAGGCTGCACTAGGGATCTGGGAATGAGGCTCCAGGGAGGTAGGAGCTATGAGTAGAGCTCCTGGGTCAAGGGGATAAAGTATTATAGCCCAGAGAGGGCAGGAGCTGGGGCTTGGAGCCCTGATCCCAGAGATGGGGCTTGGAGCCCAGAGACAGGGTTTGGAGCCCAGAATAAATGGTAGGGGCTGGGAGCCCTGAGTGAAGGAGATGATGAGGGTCCTGAGCCAGACTGGGAGCTGGACAGTAATGATAGGGGGCTAAGAGCCCAAAGGAATATGAGTAGGCCGGGTGCTAGGCCATGGATGCCATCTGCAAAGCATGGGACACAGTAAGGGGAGGTCGGAGCTACGTGTATCAGTCCTTGGCATCAGGGCAAGTACATGGGCAGCCTCCTGCCTGATTAACATCATATAATCATTATCATCAAGGCATGGCAGGGGAAAACGGCAGGTGGTTAGCCCAGAAACAAGTAGGCAGGCCAATGACTGACTGGCCCTGGGACACCCGCTTGTTACAGAGCCCATACACTTAGTACAGTGGCTGGAGGGGTAGGGGGAGAGGGTGTCAGTTGGAAGCCTGGCATGGCCGAACTGTGCTTTGGGCCGGGTAAGACTCTGATCATGGATGTCTGGGATAGTCCCCTGGTGGTACAGAGGCAAGTTGTGGAGTAGCCCAAGAAGGATTTCCAGCCATAATCCCAGCCCAAAAGCCAGTTCCTTATTCGGGCCATTATTCTTAATGCAGTTGGCATGGCGGGGACGGGTGTCATTTAGCAGCCCAGCAGAAACAACCCACACTTTGGGAATGGGGGGCTGTCAGTTGTCAGCCCAGCATGACCAAACCGCACTCTAGGCCAGGCTGGACTCTTGTCAGAGTTCTCTGGGAGTGTTCCCCGGTGCCACAGAAGCATGGTGTGGGCCGGCCTCAAAAAGTTTTCCAGCCAAAAACCCAGTTCCTTAGTTGAACCTATATACTTATTACAGTGTGCAAGGGAGGCTGTCAGTTGGCAGCCTGACACAGCCAAGCTGCGCTTTGGGCCAGGCAAGACTCTGGTTAGGGATGTCTGCGAGTTCCCTGGTGGTACAGAGGCATTGTGTGGGGTGGCCCAAGAAGGATTTCTATCTCTAATCCCAGCCCCAAACCAGTTCCTTATTTGAGCCCATATACTTAGTACAGTGGCTGGGGGGGCTGGCAGTTAGCAGCCAGGCACAAAGAAACTGCACTTTGGGCCAGGCATGACTCTGGTAAGAGATGTCTGGGAGAGTCCTTCAGTGTCACAGAGGCATGGTGTGGGGTGGACCAAGAAGGATTTCCACCTGTAATCTCAGCCCAAAAGCCAGTTCTTTATTTGAGCCCAGATACTTAGTACAGTGGGAATGGGGGGCTGTAGCTGGCAGCCCGGCAGGGCCAAACTGCGCTTTTGGCTGGCCCAGACTTTGGTCAGTGACACTGATGTCCAGGAGAGGTCCCTGGTGGTACAAAGGCATGTCGTGGAGTGGCCCAAGAAGGATTTCCAGCCATAATTCCAGTACAAAAGCCAATTCCTTATCCGAGCTATTATGCTTAGTACAGTGGGCTTTCAGTTTGCAGCCTGGCAGGGCCAACCCATGCAGGAGAGTGCTCAGGCTTATTTGGGGTGGTAGTGGTATCAACAGGAGGTTTGGGTTGGCCCAAGAAGTATTTTGCCCCATAATCCCATCCCAACTTTATCGTCATTTAAAGCTCTGTATTTGATATAGGATATTGTTTTACATATTAATCAGTTACTGTGCATAGCTAGTGAAATTCTCTCTCTTTAGAATGTGTTATTCATTAATAACAAGCTTTTGGCTACAGATTATCTTTGAAAATGGAACTGGGAGCCAGGAATAAGGAACTGCCAATAAGGAACCAACTTCAGCCAGTGAAGAAGAGAAAACACCACTAGTTCATTGTTCCCAGGCCTTGGTGATCCTGAGGCCAGGTAACAGGTTGAGGGAGCAGGTAAGGCTCAGCCCTGTCCTCCTCTCCTGGCACCTGGGAACTAAAGACAGTATTGCCAGGTCTTCAATATGAAATTAATTGTATTGAAAGCTCAAAATGATCATAGTTGTTGAAAACCTATTGCACGCTGAAAAAATATGCAAAGAAGTATGCAATAAGTCTCCTTCTTTCTTACTTTATATTGGTCAGTGTAAGACCCCACCCATGGAGTGAGAGTTGGGTCAAAGTTGAGGCATTTATTTATTTGGAGGCAAGCAGTCATAAGAAGTGCTGACAGCAGAGCCGGAAGTTGGCAGGGAAAACACCATGATCACCAGGCTGGTTCTCCCAGGGACAGGGGATAACCGCTGTTCTGGCATGGGGAAGTACCCAGGCAGAGGTAATGTATAGTTACCCTCCCACTTTCATTTCCCGTGGGAAGATCTTGGCTTTATGCCGACTTCATGGAACTGGGAGACTCCTCCCTAGCTCGCCTCTGCGGCCTTATGGTGAAGGGGCACCGGATCCACGCTTGTGTCGGCCAAATCATTTGGAAACATCTGAAGCCCCAGGTGGGGATGGAGGATGTTTGAGGGCAGTAGGACCATACCTGGTTCTTGGAATCGATCTGGCTGGGAAGAACAATTTTCCTTAAAAAATAAAAACAACCCCCCTCCCAGAAGTTGGCTAAGACTCTCTGAGGATGACTTGGCTTTTGCACACGCAGCATCAACTATCTACCTCGGAAAAACGACTGTGCATGTTGAACGCTTTTTAGAGGGGTGGACATCCCCAGGCGCCGGCCCGCTACCTACCCGCTCCCTGTCGTCCTCCGTGGCGAGGCCCGCCTGCAGGCAGCTGTCGGCCCCGCCCACCGGCCGGGTCCCCAGCCGGTCCACGAGGGAGCCGTGCAGCACCTGCAGCAGCGCCACGCACAGGTCGTGCTCGGCCTCCTCGGCCGGGGACGGCAGGTCGCGCAGGCTGGGGTTGGCGTAGCTGGCTGCCAGGGCGCAGCCGCCGAGCTGCAGCGCGGACAC